AGAGGAGAAAGGGCAGAGAGAGGGAGAGAGAGAATCCCAAGCAGGCTTTGTGGTGTCATTGCAGAACCTGACTTGGGGCTTGAACCCAGAGTCATGAGATCATGACCTGAGCTGAAATCAAGAGATGGATGCTTAACCGACTGAGCCACCCAGGCACCCCAGATTTTGATAAATCGTCTTAAATTGCACACTGAAGGAACATGCCATACTGATTTTCACACACCCTTGCTTCACTGGATTTTATCAGTCTTTCCAGTTTTTGGCAATTTAATTTCTATTTGCCTGGAACCAGGCCCTCTCCTAATCCTGGCTGCCAGAGTTCTGGCACTGGCCCACTGTGGCCCATGCATGTGTCTGGTCTCCTGGCAACAGACAGACACCTTAGCTTGCTTACTCCCCCATTCTAAACCTGTGGACATATTCCTGGTGCAGAAGCAAAGTTCACAGACCCAATGCTTCTCCTTGGACTTCAGACAGTAACTAGCATTCCATCGTGTATTTTAAGGGGGAGGAAAACCATAAAGCCAATCAACTGCCCACAATACATATTGTGAAGAAAAGACTGTTAGATCTTAGCAAGAGACGTAAATATTGTTTCCTTCCCTCAGGAAAGAAAGGCAAATTGTTGTGTTTTCAAAGGGCTTACAGTGGTTCTGTTGACAAGCTGGACCCCAAGCCATCTGTTCTAATTTCTCTAAAAAGTGTCCCCAGGGCTCTGTTATGTCAGAACAGTCTGTTGTTCCCATTGTCTTTCTCAGTAACAAAGGACCACACACCCACTCTTCCATTTTTCAGGCAACTTACCGTAATACCTTCTTTCCAGATGGCCAGGTTCCATCCTCCAATGGTGAGGATAATGTCCTTGTAAAAAGGTGACCTCTGAACAGTGTGGACAGCTCCATCATGGACGGCATAAAGGTTCACTGGCTTCTTTGCTGTTGGGGTGGAAAAGGCCATTTCATCGTTAATAATAGTGTTTACATTCCCGCATGATGGATGGTCAGGCCTCCAGTAGACGGACAGGTCCTGATTAATGGGCTCCAAGAGTAGATAACCAGAGGTCAGTTGGGGTAAATGAATCTGTCAAGGGACAGCTCTTCCTCTTTTTATGGAAAGTCCAGAGAATTTCCATCAAGGTCATTTTTCCAGTTCAAAGGAATACTTCATGTTCCTATTTATTTATTCATTCATTCATTTCGTTGCTCAAAATATATTTGTGGATTGCCTATATGTACCTATAGGTACTGTAGATGGCTGGGTAAACAATGGTTAATAAATGAACGTGATACCGCCAGCATGGAGCTTACAGTCTAATGGAAAAGACAGATACTCAATAAACAATATCCAATATCCAATAAACAAATACCAAAATATATAATAAAAATACATATAATAAAAATATGGGGGGGAAATTACAAGATAGATAACAAGGGACATCCATAATTTGAACTGAATGATCAGAAAAGACTTCTCTGAAGATGAGTCCTTTAGTCCTTTGTAGCACTTTGGTGTGGGAACATTTTAATGTAGAGGAATATTCCAGACTGGGGGAACAACACACACTGAAGTCCTGTGGAGAGAAGTGCTTAGTGCCTTTATAAATTTGAGGAAGACAGTAAGACTGAAGTCTGGTAATCCCAGCATGAGACATATGAAACAGACAGGGACCAGGAGGGTCCAGACCATGCAGGCCCTTGTAGGACAGGAGTTTAGATTATATTCTAAGCATAATGTGTTTCAAAAAAGGCCTTTAGGCCCAGAAGACAATCTGACTGATTTCCAAAGATCCTCTGACTGCTGTGAAGAGAATGGATTAACAACAGGTAGAAGAAAAGAGGAGACCCCATAGGAAGTAGTTCTGGTGAGAGAGCATGGTGCTTGGATGAAGGTACATGGAGAAGAGTGGATGATCAAGAAATATTTGCAAGCTGGAATTGACAAGACTTAGAGATGGCTTGAGCAGGATGGTGAGAATGACTGGCTTCTGGCAGGAGCAACCAGCTCAGTGGAGTTTCCATTTATTGCCACTAGGAAGACTAAAGGGGAAGCAGGTTTGGACATTAAGATCAAGAGTTCCCTTTAGTCTCTGCTCCAACCCGGGGGTCCTGCTTTCCCCTAGGGTGTCTACCCCACCATTGCTTGGGTCTCCTCTCTCCCAGGCCTGGCTGCAGAGCTGGCTCCTCCCCACTCCTTGCTGCCCACACCCACCTCAGGGATGGCCACAAAGATAAGAGCCTATCTAGGCCAAACCACGATGTCTGACTACTTTATATCCAAATCATGAACTTATTGTGAATCCCATCATATTGATAGCTATGTGAAAGCTGGATTTTTTTTTTCTAAGTACCCCATGGAAACATTAAGCAGAAACACACACACACACACACACACACACACACACACACCTACTGAATCTTGCTCATAAAGTAGAATTTCAAAGAGATATTTGTCCACTCATATTCATAGCAGCATTATTTGCAATAGCGGAAATGTGGAAGCAACCCAAGTGTCCATAAACAGATGAGGGAATAAACAAAATATGACACACACATACAATGGAATATTATTCATCCTTCCAAAGGAAGGACATTCCAACATATGCTACAACATGGGTAAAACTTGAGGATATTCTGTTTAGGGAAAGAAGCCAGTCACAAAGATACTGCACGATTCCACTGACGTGAGGTATCTACAGTAACCACACTCATAGAGACAAAACATAAATGGTGGCTGCCAGAGGCTGAGGGGAGAGGGGAATAGGAGCTAGTGTTTCACTGGTGCAGAGTTTTAGTTTTACAAAATGGGAACAGTCCTGGAGATTGGTTGCACAACAATGTGAACGTACTCAATAGTACATTATAAACTTAAAAATAGTTAAGATGGTAAATTTCACATTTATGTATATTTTGCCACAGTCTAAAAATTATTATATTATTATTATATCTTTTCCTTCCCTTTGTCCTTTCAAGGACCTTTAGTTCCATTTAGCAATGAATAGAGCTGTCCTTAAGTTATTAACTGGAGTACCAGCGGCCCCAGGCCAAGTTGCTATGAGAAAATTACAATAAACAAAGAAGTAGTTTCCAGAATCATTATCTAATGCAGGATTCAGGACAGTGATGTGATCAAGAGCATAGAGCGCCTAGGTTCAAACCCTGGCGATGCTACCCCATAGGGTTGCTGTGAGGATTAAGTGAACTAATCCATGGAAGGTACTTGGAAGAGTGCCTGAAACATGGCATGTGCCCATTTGTGAGTAGAGCACATGAAACAATTATGTCAATTGTCATCATTCACCTGCATTTTTTTTTTTCTGGCTTGTCACTTAGATCATCTGGAAATTTTGTTTGATTTGGACTTCTTTATCACACTTATCTCATTCAGGGTAATATATCTTTCAGAACCTTTTTCTTAGAAGAGGAAATTCTCCTTCCTGCCTTGTTGATAAGAACATGGGGTTCCTAGCAAATCAAGAAGGACTGGGTCCCAGTAACGGCCTCATCTTTACTCAGGTACACTCCACGGTGTTTACGAAAAACATTAGGCTGGTAGCTCCTAAGGAAAACACTGCCAGTTCACAGAATGTAATTAGGAAAGCAGTGCACAATTTAGAGAGTCTATACATTGAATTTCTCTGAATCTAACCATTATTCAATGGGAACAACAGTGTTGTTTGGCTTTCCATGTTACAAAATGCTTGACTGATGATTTTAAAGTATTTTAAAGTATTGTGATGATTTTAAAGTAGACTTCAAGTGGGGCGCCTGGGTGGCGCAGTCGGTTAAGCGTCCGACTTCAGCCAGGTCACGATCTCGCGGTCCTTGAGTTCGAGCCCCGCGTCAGGCTCTGGGTTGATGGCTCAGAGCCTGGAGCCTGTTTCCAATTCTGTGTCTCCCTCTCTCTCTGCCCCTCCCCCGTTCATGCTCTGTCTCTCTCTGTCGCAAAAATAAATAAACGTTGAAAAAAAAAATAAAAAAAATAAAGTAGACTTCAAGTAAGTGGTTAAAGCTATTTCCCGTTTTGTTGTTGTTGTTGTTGTTGTTTGTTTTTGCAGTGAACTATATGTCAAGAAATTAAAAGCAACTCTTCTTCTTCTTTACTAACCCACATCCCATTGGTCACAAAATCCTGCCATGGTGACTGCCAACTCTCTCTTATATTTCCTCTGCTGCACATCCCTGTTACCATGCCTGTACTTAGTCCTCTCCATCTCTCATCTAGATTATTGCTGGTGGTCATCCTACTTCTACTGTAAGTCACACCAATAAATTAATCCAGCTTATGCTTTCCTGCCAGAGTGATTTTCTGATTATACTGGTGGCACCAGGATAAGGTTCAGAGCTTATTAGGCACTCAAGGCTCTTAGCCATTTGGACCCAATTGTCCTTCCTGGTACCTCTCCTGCTGCCCTCTCTATGGGCTATGCTTTGGCTAGGAGATCACCCTGTTTCCTAATTGTCCACTGCTCTTTTGGGCTTCCATGTTTTTGCATTTATTATTCCTTCTACTTAGCATGTCTTTCTCCAACTGGAAAATTGCAATCCACCCTTTAAGATCCAGTTCAACTATCTCTCTTCAGTGGAGCCCTTTCTTAATAGCACAAGAGAGTTGGTCCCTTTCTGGGTTCCCATATCACTCTGTGTTTGCTTCTAACCATAGCACTAATGACAGTGTAATGTCATCATTTGTTTATATTTTTGGCTTTTCTAATAGATCATGGAACTCCTCTGGGAGAGGATAATATCTTGTTCATCTTTTTTTTTTTAATGTTTATTTCTTTTGAGAGAGAGAGAGAGAGAGTGAGTGCTCATACACCTGGGCAGAGGAGGGGTAGAGAGAGAGGGAGAGAGAATCCTACACACCATGAGATTATGACCTGAGCCAAAATCAAGAGTTGGATGGTTAACCAACTGAGCCACACAGGCGCCCTGATATCTTGTTCATCTTTGCATCCCCAGTGTCTGGCACAGATTAGGTTATCATTAATGAATTGATGAATGAATGAAAGTAAAAAAGAAAGAAAAAACAACATCAGTAAGTTTCAAACATAAACTCTTGGGTTTCTAAGTTTATTGTCATTGGTTATTCTATAAATGGAATAAAATCCATTTAAAATAAATAACTAGCCCTTTTTGTCAGGGTTCACCTCCAAAGCAGTTTAAGAATCTGACTCTATGGTAAGACCCCAAGAAAGTCTCTGAGATCAGATACAACACCAGTGCATAACCAATTCATGGCATCAAGGTCTCGATTTGTGTCCCAGCAGGGCAGTAGAGACAGTTGCCATGTGCATGCAATATGTGCACAATTAATATTCATGACTTATTGAATAAACAGATACATGAATAAGCATACAAGTAGCTGAATGTAATTCATTGCATCTGATATATAATTTTGAGTTCAACTTTTAAATCATGGAATTCAAAATGAATAGAAAGTGGAAAATCAGTCTCAGTTCTGCAAGCATTTGACCTTTCCTTGGGTCACATCTGATTCTCTCTCAATGCCCCACTCTTACCACTAACACACATTTGGGTTTCTGGCCGGAAGTTGTAGGTCAGAAAACTGGGAGTACTTTTGTTTCCAGGTTAATATGGCTACCCTGGAGGCAGTGCTGGGAAAGCAAGCCTTCCCAGGTCTAAGGCAGACTCCACTCTGCCTAGCCAGACTCAGTAGATAGAAGTGGAGGGAGTGAAGTTTGAGGCAGAGACCTGAGACCCAGAAGTTGTCCCCTGTGGGCTGTGTCTCTGACCTCTGACTCCTTTCAGTCACTCACATGCCCACTGTCCTAACCTCCAGTAGGACTGACCAGTACCCCTTGTGCAAACCTAGCCTGGCTGCTCCACCTCACTGCTCCATGGTAGTCTAGCAGTCCCAGCAGCTGCCTCTTCCTGTGCTTATGGTTATTCCACATTTTGAAGTGTGGCTTGAATAAGTTTTCGTGCCAAGATAAAATCCAAGCCTTTAAATAAGTAGTTGTAATTGTAGCAAACCTCAAGGCTCTGAGCTTTGACAGGGAGCTTAGCTTACTGGGGAGCCTGAACTCTTGATTCCTGCTCAGAGCTATGCGTGGCCCCCATATGTCTGCTCAGCTGCCCAGAGTGTGGGGCCCTGGGAACAGAGGAACACATGGACAGCACCAGTCCCGGTCTGAGAGCAGAGTCCTACTGCTGCTTCTTCATACTGTTCTGAAGTTGTCAAGATCATTGTAAACTTAGCTTATAATTTCACATCAGTTAGTATTTTTCATGTAGATGAGCTACCAAATTGTTGAATTATTAAGGCAGCAATTAATTAAAAATTAAGATATTTTAAATTATCTTAGTCATTTAAGCATCAATAGATCAGTACTCCTCAAATTTAGAGGTGAAAACAAATTACATGGTGAATCTTATTAAGAATCTATATTTAGGGGCATCTGGTTTGTTCAGTCAGTTGAGTATCGGACTCCTGATTTCGGCCTCAGGTCATGATCTCCTGGTTGGTGGGGTTGAGCCCTGTGTCGCCCCTGCACTGCCAGTGCCTGTTTGGGATTCTGTCTGTCTCTCTCTCTCTCTGTACCCCTCGTCTCTTTCTGTCAAAATAAATAAATAAAAACTTAAAAAAAATCTATATTCAGTTCCAGCAGGCCTGGGGTAGGGTCCAAGTTTGTGCGTTTCTAACAGACTTCCCAGTGAGAAAAGTGCTGCTACCGGAGGCCCTCACTTAAGTAACAAGCGCAGAGACAGGACCTCAGGTGCCTGCCCTTCTCTCATTAGCAAGGCCACGGTTACTCAGCACTTTGTTCAAAGGAATAACTTATTCATAACACAGGAATCATCAAAACTTACCCATCAATCGGCCAGTTTCAGGGTCTCTTTCCATTTTCCAATCTGTATATATCACTCCACCTTCCTAAAAATATTACAGGTTCCTGATGAGTACAAAGACAACCAAAGGGACTACCGATCTCATATTCATGTGCTAAGATGGACTGTGACCCAAACAAAAACCAAGCTGCAGGCTAACATAATCAAATGATAATTTGACACAGTGCAGGGAAGGCTTAAACATTTTTTACATTGAACAAAAAAAGGAATTTGTTACATTTTTATGTACACATAGTGAAATGGAGAACACAGGCATTTATGGAGATAATCTATGTTACACAAGTTCCAACTACTGAGTTCTTAATCTTTTGTTAATTGGAAATTGTCCACTGGACTGAAAGCTCCAGGAAGGGATCTGGTGTGACTTATTCAGTGATTTGTTCTCAGCATGATACAAAGTCAGTATTTTAAAAGTTTTGTGGAGTAAGAGGAAAAAGGAAATATAAATTCATAATATGGTGTCATTACCTTTTAAAATTGAGAACAGGAAGCGAAGTTCCACTTAAATAACATAACTAGTAATAATATATATTCCAGCTCTACTTATGGCCATTTTAAGGAGCGGGGAAGTCATAAGAACCTGGTGTAAAGAAGGGACAGAAACAACCACACAAATGGAAAAGATGCAGAACTAGTGAATGGGAGAGGTGGGAGAGGTTTAGAGAAAAACATTTAGTCTCATGCCTTTTCTTATAGAAGGAGCACAGAGACTCAGAGAGGTGAAACAATATACTCAAGGTCGCCCAGATGCAGTCTCCTAATTCCAATGTTTTTCTCACTGGATAGTAAGAGGAAAACACAGAGAAAGGTGTATAAAAAGAGGGGTTGAGAGGACTCGAAGGATGGCTTGGGACGTGTAGGCAAGGGAGAGGGGAGGGAAAAACACTGGAGTACGCAAAGTGAAGTATGCTTCCTGGGGCCAGGGTCTGCTCATTCACTCCTCTGTGCTTTTGTTCATTAACTCATGTAACAAACAAGGACTGTGCTTCGTGTTGGAAATTCAGAGTCAGAAGATAAGTCTTCCCTCCATTCATGCTGCTCAGAGTCTGAGGGAGCAGAGACCAGCAGACGTCTGGTGCACACGCCTAGCCTGTTGCCCGTGGCACATCACCCGCAGTTACCATTGATTGAGTGCATAATGCTTGCCAGAGTTGTTAGGAGCTTTCTGTATATGACCCAGCCCTTGCCAGAGTCCTATAGGAGAGTTATGAGTACCTCCTGGGTCTCACAACTGATACGTGGAACACTGAAACCGAACCAAGTCAAAGAGGAATAGAATAACTTGCATCAGGTTAATAAATCCATGTTAAATGCCCATTATATCATTAGCCACCTAGCTGGGAACCTTCACGTCCTTCTCCATCCAGTTACCTGGTTCTGAGAATTCTACTCCTCCTACCCGTGTGTTGACATTCTTGGCCCACTGCTCATGCCCTCTTCATCTCTGGTTGGCCCACTTGAAATCACTGCCTCTCCGGCCTCTGCACCTCCCTGGCTCCATTTCCTCCTGCTTCAGCCCTGTCCTGGCCAGTCTAGATCCCAGAGGGGGTCTACCTCATTCTCTCTAACCAAATCAGCCACGTCAAGAGTTGGTAGAAGAGCATTCTACTGGAATGTCAGCCCATGAGGTAGGGAATTTTGTCTGTCCACAGATATATTCCCGGGGCCAAGAACAGTGCCTAGCATATAGTAAATGCTCAATAAATATCTGCTGAATGATGGGTGAAGTTAATCCTTTCAAGGACAAGGACTTGAAAGGCAGGGAAGAGTTTGGCATAGAAAAAGAGAAAAATCTGAGCAGCTGGAGAGAGAGAGAGGGAGACTGGTGCAGACGGGGGTGTAGAGATAGGAAGGAGCTAAGTTATGCAGAATCTTGTAGGCCACAGTGTGAAGAGTTTGGATTTTATTCATGGTTGAATGAGTTGTCACCGAATGGTTTAAGCAGAGGATATCATATTTTAATCTCTATTTTAAGATCTCGTGGTCATTCCTTTTTCTAAAGCTGTCATCGCCCTGCTTTAAAAACTCTGGTGTGCACAGAGATAATTCTATGATTCTACTTACATGAGGTGTCTGGAATAGTCAAAGTCATAGAGCCAGAAAGTACAATGGGGGTTGCCGTGGGCTAGAGGCAGGAGTGAATGGTGAGTTATTGTTTTAATGGGTACAGAATTTCAGTTTGGGATGATGAAAACATTCTGGAGATAGATGGATGCTCAATGATATGAATGTATCTAACAGCACTGAATTAAACACTTCAAATTTATTAAGATGGTAACTTGTTACTTATATTTTTCCAGAATTAAAAAAAATTAGAATCCCAAGTTACAAAAATTGACAGCCCAAGTTATAAAACAAGTATTTGTTTGGTAAGTGCCCCATTGCTTGCCCAATGAAATTCAAATTCCCTAACATGGCAGAAAAGGCTCTTTGACTGGATCCCAACCTAGCATTCAAGGTATAGCATTCCCTCTTGCACAAATGATTCCACTGTCTCCAGACAAATCCCAGACTCCCATAATTCCAAAGCATTGTTTAGGCTGTTACTTCTGCTGGGAATTGTACTCTCATCCTGGTATTTCAGATGCCTCCTCAACCTGCAAAGTCCTAGCTAACAGTCTGGATTCCCCAACCTCCCCTGTCCTCTGGCTTCTGGATGGGCACTGGCATGGGTAATGCTATTAATGTGTCTGCTCCATAACTAGGCAGTGAGTGCCCGGTGGACAGGGACTATGCTGTTGTTTCATGTCTGACCCAGGGCCTAATGCTGTGCCTGGTGGGCATTATGCTTCTGAGAACTGGTGTAGTCTAATCTTCTCATGATACTAAAGTATGAGCTCAGACTGCATTCCAGCGAGACTGACCTATGGCGTCTTTCCATGGTTTAGGAAAAAAACCCTTTATTTCAGAGAAATAGAGCCATGAATGAAGATTATTAGGACTAAGTGAGATATACTTTGGAAAATACCTGGCACAGACCCTGCTATATAGAAAATTTCCAATAAATGTAAGCTCACTTTGGCTATTATAATAAGTGCCAAAAAATGGCAGCCATTATCATTATTATATCCAGTTGTTACTTTTGAATTGAGTGAGTTTTGCACTGTCTTTCCTACTACATTTTGCTAGCTAACAAAGCAATATATTTTCTTAGTAAATCTCTAACACTTAGCATGGTTTCTTCCATATGGTGTAGGTGTTCAATAAATATTTGCAGGTTGATCAATCATTAGTAAAGAAGGTCATGCTGAATTTTATAGATTTTTTCACATTCATCAGGAACATTTTAAATATGAATTTATGAAGCATGAAGATTTTAAAAATTCAATGCAAATAAGTATATTAAAATATGAAAATGGTATAGATATTGTAAGCCTTCATAAAGCAAATGTACAATAGAGGTTATAGTGAAACAGAGTAGACAAGTGGTTGCCAGGGTCTGGGGGGTGGGAGAAACAGGAAGAGGTTGGTAAAAGGGTACAAACTTCCAGCTGTAAGGTTAGTGAGTTCTGAGGATATAAGGTAAAACATGGTGACCACAGTATAACACTGTATTATATAATTGAAATCTGCTAAGAGAATATAATTTAAATGTCATCACACACACACACACACACATACACGCACAAAGATAAATATGTGAGGTGATGGATGTGTTAATTAACTAGATGGGGAGGGAAGGTTTTCACAATGTATATGTACATCAAATCACTATGATGTACACTTTAAATATCTTACAGTTTCATGTCAATTATGCCTCAATAAAACTGAAATTAAGGCTATAAGAACATATATCGACACATACACATATATATACATACATGTAAATATACATATATATAACATGTATAAATAAGAGAGCAGATAATTCTAACTCACCTCTGTTCCAACAAAGAACTTTGTGCAGAAGTCCTCTATAGGCTTGAGATTGTTGGCCAACGCACCTTCCAGATTGTGGTATGGGTTCATCTCTCCTGCCTTCACTACTTTGCTCTGGGCTAATATTTTGTCTTTCAGAGGAGTATGAATAGAAGGAGCACATATTTACAGTGAAAGACCTTTTAAAATATAGTTAGTTTATATTTTCTGCCCTTTGCCACACACATCTGCCCCATTCTCTCCCCAGTGTGGCGGGCATAAGTATGAGCATCTTTAGACTTCTAATTTAGCAGTGGAACGTGTCTTTCAAACCAAAGCATATGCAGGAACCCTTGCATGTGAAATCTATCAAAACCTGCATTGCTGTGATTAAAGGGTTTCCTGGTGGGAAGGAGGAGACCCCTCCACCTACTTTCAAGGGCTCTAAAAAGTTCCACAGCACCCAGTTTTAAAAACAGTTCTACATTATTTATATCATTTCAGAATTATTTACAGTAAAAATTGGACATAAAATATATCCTCTGGATTACATTACTTTTGATACTCTCAGTAAAACTCTCTACTGAGAAACTCATGTCATTTTTATTCATTTGGCACTGTATGGAATTTTTTCAAATAACTCATGATTAGACTTTTAAGTATCAAAAATGATCTAACTTCAAAAAATAAATCCATCTAAAATGTATTACTTGTTTTCACAAGCACAGCACATGCATGGAACATAGGTTAAAGTTTTCTGGTTAGCTCATGTTTATTACTTAAGAACACCAGGGATTGTACCGCATTATCGCTGTAACTACACATGCAAACAGAGCATAGTTAATCTGGAGGCTAGGGGCGCCTGGATGGCTTGGTCGGTTAAGCGTCCGACTTCAGCTCGGTCATGATCTCATGGTCCGTGAGTTCGAGCCCGTGTGGGCTCTGACAGCTCAGAGCCTGGAGCCTGTTTCAGATTCTGTGTCTCCCTTTCTCTCTGCCCCTCCCCTGTTCATGCTCTGTCTCTCTCTGTCTCAAAAATAAATAACCTTAAAAAAAATTTTTTAAAAAAATCTGGAGGCTAAAATTCTAACACCATCTGGGCCTTCTTTCTTTTTAAAACAAAAGTCTTTTTAAAAAACAAAGATGTCATCTTGTTTTAAAACAAAAGTCTTTTTATGAGCTAAAATTAATAAATGTTATTTACCGAAGCTTTGGAAAATAGAGGAAAGCATGAGAAAAATAAGAAAAATCATCCATTATCATATTTTCCAGAGATAACCACCATTAAAATGTCTCCCTACAATTACATTTCTGTGAATATATATATTCTGTGAATATATAAAGGATTTTCTTTTAATTGGGCATTTTAGCTTTTATCCTGTTTTTCTATTCTCTTAAAGATATTATCTTGGGCATATTCCCAGGTCACTTATTAGTTTTTTAAAAATGTGACATTAAATTTCTAGGAGAGGTGGTAGAGAAATATATCCTCATCAAACCCTACTCCCCACATCTTAATACATCATCATCTAGATTATATCAACCATAGGAATACTAACAAATGAACAGAAGAACCAACCAACAAACATATAAATGAAAACTAAAATAGAAGAAAACCTCAGCTACACTAAAAAAATATATATCATTAAAAAAAACCTGTAACATAATTCTGGACAAAAGTGAGAAACAATTATGATTTTGTTGGTACAATCAACCAGTGCTTCCTTTGTTAGGGATCTACATGCTTTGGGCAGTCTCCCTTCCCAAAAGATAAGACATCAAAAACAAGTAACAAGGTAAGCCAAACATGAAACCGGACTTGTAAATAGCTGTATTACAAAGTGCCAATCAACATGTCAAGAAATAACTAGGTACATTTAATCACATTGTTCTTACTAAAAGATATTATTCATATACATTAACATGAGGAAAAAGGCATTTTGTATCCATTTAATGTATAAAATTAAAATCATTAAAATATTTCAAATTCACCACGCTCATTTCAATGTCTGTTTTTCTCTTTCTAAATAATACACATTAATATATTAGTAGAGTAGAACATGTATATAATTGGTAAGTAAATACATGTTTGTTGGCAATATGTGCTCAAAAATTTTTCTTGATGGGATGCAAGATGGAAAAGTCTGGAGCCCTCTGGTCTAACAAGGAGAGCCTGATCCAGGGGTCACTACCAGTAACACAAAGGAAGAGGCAAAGGTGAGATATGCTATAACGGAAGACCTAATTCTCCTAAGTGAGAGACTGGATGTAGGGACTGGAGGAGAGAGAGAGGGATGACTCAAGTTGTGTTCTGGACACATGGACATTGAGGGAGTAGGTTGGGTTTAAGCCCAAGAGATAGCAAGAGGCAAAGTGGGGGATTCTCAGCAGATTAAGAGTAGACCCAGTTACTGAAAGGAGTGAGGAACGTGGAAAGCATACCGCTGAAATTTGAGTTTGAGGCATATCCACGCTGAGAGGGCAGCAGAGAAAGAGGGCAGAGGAGAGAAACTGAAGAAGTATTAGGAAAACCACAAAAACCAAGGCAGGAGCTCTGAGAAAAGGGGCTAAGTTGATAGTGTTTAATGTGGTGGAGTTAAAGAGAATGAAGCCAGACAAAAATGTTGTCATCAACTGTGTTTACTCAGACTTGACTGGAATAACTTGCATATTTATTAAAATCAACATCATCCCCGTGGATTTTCCATCCATGGATTTCCATCACCAGGGCCCAGCATAACAGTAGCAGCTAACACTTACTGAATGCTTACTACATGACTACATGCCAGGTACTGAACTGTGTGCTCTACATGCACCATTTCATTCAATTCTCACAATAACTCCTAAGGTAGTTAAGAATTAATTCTCCTTCAAGGATGATAAAGTGAGGCTCAGAGAGATTAAGTAGCTTGCCCAGGCCTCATATACAGTGGCTTACATTTATTGTGGGTTGACAAAGAGCTGTTCTTAGAGCTGTATATATATTAACTCATTTTATCTTCTCAATACTACATGAAGTCGTTACCTTCATTATTTGCTTCCATTATATTCATGTATCTCTTTTCAAATAAGTTTTTTGTTTGTTTGTTTGTTTGTTTGTTTGTTTTAAAGTAAGGCACAGAGAGGTATAGTAATTTGACCTGGTCAAATAATAAATTGTAGCTTTGGGGTTTAAACCCAAACTCCAGAATCTACATCCTTAACCACTATGCCACAGTGCTTAGGAGAATATAACGGAGGCTCTGAAGGCAATTACAGAGTAGGAATTCCAAAAACTTTTAGAGCAAAGTCTTCCGCAACAGAATAAACAAAAAGAACATCTTAAAGTGACTACTCAGAAGGGCAGACTACTAAGGATCTAATATGGCAGGCAAAAGCCAAGTAGCCTATAGCCACTAGGTGGCAACAGAGTACCAGACAATGCTCCTGAGAGTTCTCCCCAGGGTGTGCCAGTGGAATAGCTGAACTTGTGATTCTTGGTGGAGAGGAGGGGGAGGAGAACCAATATAGACAATACACAGAACATGGTCAAGAAGCATATGACCATGTGTATTCTAGTCAATAGGTTCAAGTCTGGCCAGAGTAGGTGGATAGCTGACAGTGTGTCGTAAGGAAATTCAAAATACCATAATGAGATCTCAAGTAAAGTTCTGAGAGCTGGCCATCTACACAAGAGGCCAGTCACAACCCAGGGTAACTGCCTTTAGTGATAAGAGGAGTGTGTTAGCAAGATCCATTGAGATTACCAAGTGAAATTTAATTTTCTCCAGGACTTGTGGTACTGCCTGTCAACACAGACTTCTGAACACACGTAAAGGGACAGAGCCAATTAAAGTCTCAGCTGAGAACTGAAAAACATGTTTGTCCGTTCCCTTTATGAACTGATTTAGCCAGATTTATCAGGTTAAATAATATTCTAAGAAAGAGAGATATATTTCTCTAAGACATATCCACAAAAAAAAAAAAGAAAGAAAGAAAGAAAGAAAGAAAGAAAGAAATATCCAAGTGACTTTGTCTGTAAAGAGAACATTCATTTGATGGGGAGTATTTATATTTGATGACATTGGGGGCATGCTTCAGGGTTTGTTTTAAATAGGTCGTTTCTTAAGTGGATGTAGATATGTATCTATCCCCCCAGAATGTAAGCTCCATGGAAGCAGGGAATTGGCTTTTCCCAGCTATATCCTCAGAGCCTGTCACTTTGCAAGAGTTTAATAAATGTTTTGAATAAACACAGATATAAATATAGAGATAACAGTGTAAAAATTGTTCTTTAAAAAATTAAGGTATTACAATTACTAAATCTCAGCCAAGTGGAGTTTATCCCAGAAATGCAGGGCTAGTTTAACATTCGGATATTAAAATAATTTACCATATTAATAAACTTAAAAAGAAAAAAAGCATGATGATCTGCAAAAATGCAGAAAAATCTTTTGACAAAATCCAACATTAACTTGTGTATAAAAGGGAACTTCTTTAACTTGATAAAGGCTTCTACAAAAACCCTACAGTTAACATCATACTTACTTGTGAAAGACTAAATGCTTTCTCCCTGAGATCTGGATTAAAACAAGAACGCTCTCCCCTAGAGGTTCTAGCCAGTGTAATCAGGTAAGGAAAAAAATCATACAAATCAGAAAAGAAGAAGTAAAACTGTCCTTATTTACAGATGACATTATCATCTATATAGCGAAAATCCAAATGATATTATCATCTAGAGAACCTAAATAAATCCTCTGCAAATAAGCCATGATAACTAATGTGATTTTAGGAAGACTGCAGGATACAAAATCAATACTCAAACATTAATTGTATTTTTATACACTGGTAATGAACCATCAAAAATTAAAAATTTGAAAGTACTATTTACTAGAACACCAAAAAATGTGAAAGACTTAGAGACACCTATCACAAGAAGCAAAAGCCCTGTACACTGAAAGGTAAAAATATCAGTGAGAAATTAATGACCTAAATAGATGGAGAGATATACTGTACTTATGAGGTAAAAGACTTTATATGGCAGACACCAAATTCTCATAATACTGATTTACAGTTTTGGCACAATTCCAATCAAAGTCAGAGCAGGCTTATCCAAGACAAAAGATACAATATCCACATGGGAAAGAAAAACCTAGAATGGTCAAAAACTATTTTGAAAAAGAAAAAAAACGTTGAAAGCACTAATTTCAAGGCTAATTACAAAGCTACAGTAATCAAGACAATGTGGTATTGGTGTAAAGATAAGTCATACAGATCAATAGAACAAAATAGAGAGTTCAGAAATGGAGTCACACATATTAGGACAGGTGATTTTTGACAAAGGTGCAAAAACCATCCAGTGGAGAAAAGACAGTGTCTTCAGCAAATGGCACTGGAACACTACATGCAAATGAACTCCAATCCATACTTTGTGCAGAGAAAAAAATTATCTCAATAAAGATCATCTAGTTATAAAACTCCTAGAAAAAAAGTAGCCCAAACTTGGGTTAAATTCAAAACCAAAATCATGACCCACAAAAGAACAAACTGATAAACTGGATTTCCTCAAAATTAAAAACTTCTGCTTTTCTAAAGACAGTGTTATGAGAATAACACTTAATATTTCATAGACTGGGAGAAAATATTTGCAAATCACATATCTGATAAAGGACTAGTATGCAGAATATATTAAGAGCTCTGAAAACTCTGAAATAAGAAAACAAACAGCACAACTAAAAAATAGATCAAAGATATGGACACTTCACCAAAGAAGATATGTATACAAATGGAAAAAAATACATGCAAATATACTCAACATCTTTAGTCATTAGGTAAATGCAAATGAGATATCACCACACATGTTTTAGAATGGTTAAGGTAAAAAGACTAGCCATATCATCTATCCATGAGGATGTGGAAAAACTGGAACTTTCCCTCACTGCTCGTTGGAATGTAAAATGGTGCAACCACTTTGTAAAACACTGTGGCAGTTTCTTAAAAAGTTAAACATACACCTGCCATATTATTTAATCATACCATTCCTAGGTATTTACCCAAGCAAATAAAATCATATGTCCATACAAAGGCATGTATATGTATATGTATATGTATATGTATATGTATATGTATATGTATATGTAATAGCCCTACACTGAAAAAGACCCAAATGCCCATCAACAGGTGAATGGATAAACATGTGCAGTATATCCATATGATGAAATATTACTCTAGAATAAAAGGGAATTAACTATTGATGTATACAACAACATAGATGAATTCCAAAATCATTATACTGACTGAAAGAAGTCAGACTCCCCCAAAACGCATATACTCTTTGAATTACATAAAGTTCTAGAAAATTGCAAACTGATATAGTGAGAGAAAGCAGATCGGTGGTGGTCTGGTAGGTGGAGGTGGGGGAGGTGCTGGAGGGAGGTGTTAAAAAATGCATCTTTATGTGAGTCACCTTTAGGAAGTGATGGATATGTTCATTATCTTGATTATAGTGATGGTTCCATGGATTTTTAATTTGTCAATACATATCAAATTGAATACTTTAACATGTACATTTTATTGTATGTCAATTATACCTCAATAAACTTGTTAAAAGTGACTAAGAAAAAAAGCACACTTTAAAAGATACAGTAATGTCCTTACTAGTAGTTGGATAAAAGCAGTAACATCCTCATGATCATCTTTTTTCATTAATTTAAAGAGTAAGGTATTTAATGAGTTACTCTTTACAAGTTACATTAACCTCTCTCAGTTTTGGTTTCCTTAATTATAAAATGGTAATGAAAACTCCCAGTTTGCAGGATTGTCATGATCATTGGCATCTGTTTTACTCATTGTTACACTCCTGGGGCCTAGCATAAAATGAGAATTTTATAAATAACTGTTAAATGAATGAAACCATGTGCAATATTAGCTAGCACAGTACCTGACTCATGGCTGAAATTCAATAAATTATAGCCAATAGCTGAATACAAAGAAGTGGAGAAGAGAACCCAACTTCGATTCCCTCTGGAATCTGGAATTTGGCCTTTGCAGGCCCAAATACATAAAAACATGAGATGTTTTAATACTGCTTAGAAAGTGTCCATAAAAATATAGTGATTCCTTTGTTTGTTTGTTGGTTGGTTTTTAGCATGAGGTCTTGAGTTGTATCTATGAAACACACAGCTTCAAAGTGAGTTTTGCCCAAGCTGGGTATTAGATATATATATTTCTGAGATATTCTATCATTTAACTGAACATTCAACAACTTATAAATGGAAATCCTTTTGATAAGGCAAATATTTGGTAAGTACTTCAGTTTCTAGTGATTCTTGTACATTTCCATTATGCATTGCTCTCAGGGTGGGATATTCATGCATACCTTTAATAGCTTTGACATTTATATGTGTACCCTTCAATTATTTCAACAAAGGTGTATGGGTTGAGATAGGTTAAAAAGTCAATTGTTATTTCTCTACTCTGTTTTATGGTGGTGCTGTACAAATATTAATTTTTCTATTATGTTCTGATTGGGAATGGTAATTTATTTCTTACATTTCATAACTTATTTTGCTAGAGTTGAGATATGTTCCATTTTATACAACTATTCTTTGAGCACATGCATACTTGTTTTGTAAAAATTTTTTAATGAGTTTTCAAACATATATAAATGTACTCAATAAATGTTTATGAAACTAAGCTGAACTGAATCCTGTGAAATCTTTGTGTGTATATAGGCAATTTTAATGTGTTGGCTGTAGTTATTAGAGCCATTATGAAGTTCCATATTGGAGAGTTTGAGTTTCTGTATTCTTTTTACAAATCAGACTATCTTAGCAACCGTCTAACTCACTGTAGACATAAGGAACCACTAATACTCAAACTATTACATGCCTTTTTAAAAATGTTTTTTAATTTATTTATTTTGAGAGAGGGAGGGAGAGAGAGAATGAGTGGGGGAGGGGCAGAGAGAGGGAGGCAGAGAGGATCCTAGCAGGCTCCACACTGTCAGTGCAGAGCTCATCTCGACTTAAACTCACCAACCCAACCCTGAAATCATGACCTGAGCTGAACCGAGGAGTCAGCCACTCAACTGACTGAGCCACCCAGGGACGCCCTCATGCCTTTTTAATAAGCAAAGGCAGTTACCTTGTGCTTTGTAAAGGAGATGGTCCTCACTCAGGCTGATCTTGGTTGGGCAGTGGTCTAAACTTGTTTCACCTTTAGACAGCCTTATCTTTTGGGAGAACATATAAGAAAGATTATTTCTATATATCCTGTGGGTGATTTATTCTTGTTTTTCCCTTCTGCCCCCAGATGGCTGTTTTCCACCTCCCTCCCCTTGTCCCTTTTCCATTCTCTTTCAGATTTCTGGTTGCTTTTCCCCAGGGATAGTGTCTAAACCACAGTTTCTAAAACCTTGTGACCCAAGGGTGCTTGTCCAGGAGCTCCTTTCCAAATCCCAGGCTCGTGTGTTTAATTTCTGAAAATATTGTGTATTCTGTTTCATAATATATCCTTTTTGGTTTTAATATAAAATAAGGGCTTATTCTCCTGTTTCCTAAATCTTTCAGTTAAACGAACCTCCAGAAGGTTGTGTGGGGTCTTTTCATCTGCCTGGCACTGCTGAGTCCATTTGGGGACACACATGCCCCTGAGCTCCAGAAGTGGCCCTGAGTCTGCACCAGAACAGGATATTTTTCCCTCACAGCATCTGCCCCACGTTTCTCCATCATGATGTTTGTCTACATGCTTACAATTACTCAGGTGAGTCTTTGCACATTTCTTTTAAAACTATTTATAGCTCAAGTAAATCCTACCACAGAAAATTCCTAACCCTCTCTTTCTAATTTCTAATCCCTAATCCCAGCTACTTCAGGAATATTCTCACCCCTCTGTGCTCTCTCTTCCATTTGGAGCAAATATATAATAATGTAATGTAATGTAATGTAATGTAATGTAATGTAATAATGACACTTGTACAACAAAGGGAAAAAAGTATTAAGTTTGGAATTAGAACTACACATTCTAAAAAAGGAAAGTCATCAATATCGGAAGCTCATTCATACTTTCCATACATATTCCATCCACAGCCATATCTTTCTCAAATTAAAATTGCTTTTCTTCAACCTCTGCTTTTCAAGAAAAGTGCAAGAAATTTCTCTTTCAATTACTTTCAGTTTTGTTTGCTCATGGGTATTAAAATACTGTTTCCTACTAGATGTGAAACATGCAGAATTTTGCCTACATTAGGGGCAAAATTAGCATTTCTAGCTAACGGGAGAGCCTACTGATTTACAGAGAACTGCTCATGCACATGAATAGTTATTATACAAATCATTGATAAGTTGCAACTTGCTAATACATGAACAAATGTCAATCTTGAGTTCACAAAAATTGTGATTTTGGGCTTGACCTAAGCAGGCATCATAATAATCCTCAGTGAAAGAATCAGTTGGTTAAACGAATACGTAAATTATAAAGTCTTATGCTAATTTGAGCTCCTCCACTTTTAGAGTGTGTGTATATATGTATGCAAATGCATGTACACAATGCAAAGTATATATAAGCTAATAGAATGGACTAAACTGCGTGTTACTCACCTTAATGAGGGGTTTCCAGGAGAGATCTAGATGCAAAAAAGTAGATGGCACATCAAAAGGAATTTCAATACTTTCTTCTTTCTTTTTCTCTATTGGTGGTGGGGTTAAAGCTTTCTGTGATCTGATATCCCAAAAACATATTGTGCTTTAAAAAAAATTCACATGTTATTTAATATAAATAAGAGGTATAGCCTGAGAACTACCATACTTCCTGCTGTTACACATTAGCAATGTAATCATGGCTGTATTTTAATACCTCTGAAAGTAAGATTTTTATGAAATGCCACTGTTTTGCATCTTATAGAAAATTATACAGTTTATAAGGTTATTTCATGACTTTGCTAGTATTAACACGAATATTATAGGAGAATTGAGTTTGGAGACTGACACCATCTTTTTTTTAACATAACAACTTTATTGAAATCTAACTCATATAGCACAAAATTCACCTATTTAAAGTACACAATTCAGTGGTTTTCAATTTTTCACAGTCAATTTTAGAAGATTTTTGTCACCCCAAAAAGAAATCTTGTACAGATTGGCAGTCACTCCTCATTGCCCCCAGCCCCTCCCACCAGCCCTAGACAACTACTCATCCACCTCTTCTCTGTATAGACTTGTCTCTTCTGGACATTTCACATAAATGGAATCAGAATATGTGGCCTTTTGTGACTGGCTTCTGTCATTTAGCACATTTTCGAAGTTCATGTCAGTATACCATTTCTTTGTATTGCCAAATAATATCCCATTGTATGGAATATACCACAGTTTATTTATCCATTCACCAGTTGATGGACTATTATGAAGAATGCTGCTCTGAACATTTGTGTATAAGTTTTGTGTGGATTCCTGGGTACATTTCTCTTAGGTATACACTGAGGAGTGTAATTGCTGTGTTATATGCTAACTTCTGGGTTTGATCTTTTGAGGAACTGCTAGATTATTTTCCAAAGCAACTGCATCAGTTTTACGTTCCCATCAGCAATGTGTGAGGATTCAAATTACTCCACATCCTTGCCAACACTTGCTACTTTTAGTCTTTTTTATTACAGCCATCCTAGTGGGGGAAGTGGTGTCTCATAAAAATTAATTTAGATTTGGGGCACCTGGGTGCCTCAGTCGGTTGAACCTCTGACTTCAGCTCAGGTCATGATCTCACAGTTCGTGGGTTCCAGCCCCATGTTGGACTTTGTGCTGACAGCACAGAGCCTGCTTTGGATTTTCTGTCTCCCTCTCTCTCTCTGCAACACCCCCCCCCCAATAAATAAACATTGAAAAAAAATTTAAGGGGCGCCTGGGTGGTGCAGTCGGTTAAGCGTCCGACTTCAGCCAGGTCACGATCTCGCGGTCCGGGAGTTCGAGCCCCACGTCAGGCTCTGGGCTGATGGCTCAGAGCCTGGAGCCTGTTTCTGATTCTGTGTCTCCCTCTCTCTCTGCCCCGCCCCCGTTCATGCTCTGTCTCTCTCTGTCCCAAAAATAAATAAACGTTGAAAAAAATTAAAAAAAAAAAAAAAAGAAAAAAAATTTAAAATTGATTTAGATTTACATTTGCATGTGCTTTGGAAGTAATATGTAGGAAATCACTCTCTAATCCAAGGTCATGAACATTTATGCTTATGTTCATTAATGTTTTCTTCTAAAAGCTGCATGGTTTCACATCTTACATTTAGATCTTTGTTCCATTTTCAGCTAATTTTTGTATAAGGTGTGAGGTAAGGGTCCAACTTCATTCTTTTGCTTGCACATATTCAGCCAAATGTCTCAGCACCATTTGTTGAAAAGATTAGTCTTTTTCCATTAAATTGTCTCAGTACTCTTGTTGCAAATCAGTCATCCATAGACATATGGGTTTATTTCTGTACTCTATGATTTCTGTGTCTGTCTTTATGCCAGTGTCAGTACATCTGTCTCTATAGTTATAACTTTGAAGAAAGTTCAGAGATCAGGAAGTGTGAGTCCTCCAACTTTGTTTTTTATCAAGATTGTCACTTTGGCTATTTTAGGTCT